ACACTATCTGCGTGGAGTTTGCATGTTCACCCTGTGCTTGTGTAGGTTTCCACTGGGTACTTCAGCTTCCTACCGCACTCCAAAGACATGGGTTAATTGTCTCCTTTTTAAATTGGCCAAAGTATGCATGCATATGAGATAGGGACCTTTGACTGTAAGCTCCTTGAGGGCAGGGACTGATGTGAATGGACACTATGTGAAGTGCTGCATACATCAAATATGCTATATACATACCTGTAATGAACAAATATTTTTATTCAGCTGAGGTGAGGGAACACTGACAGGGGATCAGTAGGTCAGGGGACATCTTTACATAGACACTGTCATTTTGCCCTGAATGGGCAAAGTGACAGTGTCCCTATAAGTGGAATATGCACTTCTGTTCATTGAATTTAAGTAATTTTCCCTGGATCCTTGTCGAGCATGGCATTTTGAATTGAAATCACATTTTTCAGAAGTGCTGCCAAACACTAATCATCCAAATAACAGGCTCCATTGAATCCTACATATGTTTTATCTAGTTATCTTGTTCCACACAACATGTTACACTATGAATTAATTGCAACAATTCTTCAGGGATTGGTGACATTTCTTTTATTTTGCTGAGATATTCATTAGATCTTCCCAGCTATCATTGTTCCTAGATATATAAGAGAGAAGCCGACTTTAACATAAAAGAACAGTCTTTATTCATTCAAAAGGTCAACAATCCACGAACTTCACAAAATAACTCGCTTTTCCTCAGCATAAATAAAACAGTTCATTGGACTTTCATCAAAACATTGTGTTTTGGTCTCACCGACATCAGGCTGTCCCATACACTGCCAGTGTGATAGTCCCAGGACTTTACCAGATTTTTCTGTAAATACAGTCCTTAGTATTGCTTAGCAGCATTCCTCAGCTCCAATCGGTCATTGTCCCTCTCAGTCTCTCTAACAGGTATTTCATAGTCACCAACTCTGTTGACCTCTCTAGCCTTCCTTGATGTGTCACATGTGCTCACGCACGCAGCAGAGTCTGCCTGTGGCTGTGTGCCTCCTGCACACCCACAACTCCCCTGAGCTCTGGGCTGGCTCTCAGCCACCTGATCAGCCCAAGCTGTTCATTGGCAACACCTGGCCCCAGGACTGGAGATTTCATCCCGCCTAGAGCTCTACGAAATCTCCAGAGCTCCAGATCCCAGCTACAATTAGGAAAACCTGGAAGAATCTGAAAAGCCAGGTTCTTCCTTATAAAACGGTTCACATTCTGGACCCTCTCAGCCCCTCCGGCTGATAGTCCTGGGTGCCAAAGTTGCCATACTACACCATGGCATTGCCATGCACTGCCACAATATACATACTGTGTATATATAGATATATAGATATATATATATATAAATATCTGGCAAATTAAGCAAGAACAGTTGTGCTGTATTTGTAAACACTGGCAAAATAGTGCATTTGCACCATTTCAGCTTTGTCCATCATTAAAAAGGGCTATACTGGACCCAAACCTTTTCATAAAGCTGTCCTATGCATTCATAGTATGGTGCTTCCATCTATAGTATGTAAACAGTAATGTTTCCTTTATACAAACTGATGCAAGACCCAAATAGAAATGTCCCCATGTGGGAAGGACTGCTACGTTTTTGAATATAAAGCCTCTGCCCACAGCTGAAAAACAGGTCTTCACTTCACCATGGAACATCACTAAAGCTACAATATGTGAATGAGGGACTGCCAAAATCAAGAACTGTCTTAGTTCATATTTGTAAATCCCAATGCCTTGTTCAGTGAGACAACTGTGGACCAGCTGTAACGGAAGCTAAGTGACTTTTAGACAATACATATTGAATACAGACTTTTGTCAATTTTCATTTGCCAGGGAAAGATAGCCTGTGCATGTATGTATGCATTTTTGTAGCACTCTGTATGTCCTGTATTGTTTTCCAGTAACTGTAAGTAGTTATATACACAGAATTCTTGTTAGGTAAACTCACATATAATATATACTAGTTATCAAAAAAGATATGAGCAAAATAATTGGGGGTTCATCCGGGATTTACACTAACGTCCAATTGAAGCAGACCTGTTTTCTATAGTATTTTCTGCTGCTTCTTCTGCATAAACTGCCTAGGACAGCCAGACTGCAGAGATATCTGGTAACCAGGAGGTGCATGCAACCTACCTGTTTGGTCAGAGACAGTTAGTGGATGACTTTTGCTAAGGCATTAGCAATGTATTTCTTTGGTTTGAATAAGATGACTTTAGCCTTGAGGGTGTTTATTTCAGTAAAGAAGAGAGGAAGGTATTCTTGTTGAGCTGGAAATGTCTTCATGCTTTCTGACCTAAAACACAAAAAGGTAGGAGGCACAGGCATAAAGAAATGCATTAAAAGAAATGCTAGCAGTTGCTATGGAGTGTGCATGATCAACTGGTAGTTGGGCTGATGATTTGCAGGACCCCTTATGATCAAATAATGAAATGCTACCAACCTGCTATCCAAGCCAGGGTTCGTGCCATTGTCATACTGTATCTTACAACTGGGATTGTGAGGATAGGCTCTCTTCAGGAGACAGTGAGGATGAGGATATAACATATGATATTTCTGACGATGATGCTCATCCATTGGTGAAGAAAAAGTATGGCTCTCTTCTCTTTACTAAGCACAGAAAAAGGATGGAGAGGACATGTCAAATGGTGAAGTATGTTACCACAACCCCAGAGAAGTAGAATTTGAAGAATTAAGGGAGCTTACATAAACTGAACTCCATGAACTAGCACACAAATACAACAGAGGTCCAGGGAACCCCCCTTGAGTTCTAAGTGTCTCTAATGTTTGTGGCATAAAAGGACAGACGGTGTTATTTTGTCAGGGAATGAAGCAATGACTATGGGAGTGTTAACCTATGATCAACAATTGCCTCTAGCCATGCACAGTGCCCGGGAGTTTACTGTGAATTTTTCACTGTTAGACCTTATGAGCAATGAAATGGTTCTACTAAATGCTAACCCTGACCTGGAAAATACCTTTTTGTGGCAAACAAAGGGTGAAAGTGTTGCCATGTTACGTGAAATGGGTTGCATAACCGACCTAACGCCAGCATGGATGGATCCAGATTTGAAACTCTTAACTTTTGCTTTGCACTCTAAGCTGATGAAGTCTGCCCCATTTAATTTTAGAGTCCCATTATTGTCCCTGCTTTGAGGCCTGGGTTAAAACAGCAAAATTCAGAAGCCACTGCCCTATAAAACCAGTTGGAGGAGATAAAGGAGACTAGTTAGTGGGTGTATGTAGTGGGGGATAGCTACATGCAATTTTCCTGTGATACACTGATTGTTTCAAGAACAACTAGCTCCAGTTTATTTTGAGAAACATCTCTGTATTTTTAAACACTGGGGAAATGTGCATGTTTACCATTTGCTGAGGCGGTACACATTTTTCAGCTGTTCCATTGAGACATCAAACTAGTACATGTTGTTGGACTTTTAAGGTACCCAAATAAACATACATCAGTATATAAATTGTTCAAAATATATTGTTTTATTTACAAAAATATTAAAATTGAATGCTTCAACATTATTCATATTGGTTCATCCATGCTATTGCATGGACAGTACAGACAAAAACGCCTTTATTACACATTGACCCCCAACCGTCAGCAAATATTTGATATGATTATGAAAGTGGTTATTCAAATAACCCCAAATACAGTTACTTTATCTTTGCACCATATGTTGTTTCATACATATCCAACGATGAAACAGGGGGAGTGTGTTCTCTATGTGTTTTGCAGCTAACATGCTGCTTCCTCAGGAGATATGCAGAGACATCTGAAAGAATATAACATAGTAAAATACCACAGTATTGCCCATTGTACATTAAAAAATATTTAATCATCAACATCATAAGACCAAATCAGCATTTACATAGCGTGTATTATGATAATATGTCCATACCACTGTGTGGGCATTTTGGAACAGCCAAATTAGGGTGCAGCAAGGAGGAACCATCAGCTAGTGAGTAAATACTATACCCAGATATACTCTAGTTCATACATAGACCATATATGGTTCTCAACTGGTGGGTCGTGACCCCATGTTCAGTGGGTCCCCACGTGCCTTCCCCTTTTCTAGGTGAGAGGCTCCTTTGAATGGCACCACTAACGTATCTCCCACCCAAAGTTCTATTTCCCATATTGGAACTTGCAGTACCACAATGCCATGTGCTACAAGGCAGTGCAACTTGGGTCATAACTTGATGACCAAGGACAAATGTGGAACCTGAGGTTACACAGGTTGAGAACCACTGCTCTAGATGAATATAAAAAGATACTCTCAATAATTCTAACAATTAACTCCCAACTCTATTTTCTCTATAGTAATTATTTATTAGGGTACCTGTGCACAAATGATTTGAGCCAGCATCCAAATCAACCTCTATTTGCTCAATTATTCAGCAATAACTCTTGTATGCAATAATATCTATCTGCAGGGATATTACCAACTGCTACCTAAAGTGTAAAAAGAAAAATCAAGATATAGTTAGCTGTGCATCATAGATATTTAAATTAATACACAGACCGTTAATCAATATCACAAAGAGGATAGGGTTTAATTACCCCAGCCAATAATCACCAGAAGATGGCACCTAGATAGGTACTAGATACATTAAATATACAGGTCATTCACAGAGGGAGGAGGAGGTGAAGTGGTAATATACAGGTCACATACAGTGGGATGATGGAGATGAAGGGGTTAATGTACAGATGTACAGGATAAAGTAATTAATTAAGTTGCTTTACTCTCCCCTGCCTCACTTGTAAGAGGAATCGGAGGGCTTGGCAATGTTAACATTTCCATGTGATCGCTGTAATAACCATTTGCAGCACTCACAAGGCACAGAGTTGGTCGAATCAGCTCTGTGCCTGAAGCCGATGCTCTCCCCTGTGTAATGACAGTGGGAACAGTGTCCTGTGTGCAGGTTGGGTGCACACACAGGAGAATTCAGGAGCGCGTATGGAAATGAGAGAGAGAGACTACCGAGAGACTACCAAGTTCAAGAATCTGTTTTTCTTCAAATGCTTAATGCCCAAAGTTCTGTTTGATGAGGAAACTGTGGACCAGCTTATAATGGAAGCAAAATTACTTTTAGGCCTCATTCACACTGCCGTACAATACGCTGCGTATATGTGCATATTGTTCCATATGCAGCATATGAAAATAAATGGCTCCATACACATAGCTGCGTATGGAGCCGTATATTTGCGCTGCGTAAAGATGCGCAAAAACAGAATGGACCCGAGATGCGTCCGGGCAACGTATTTCTGCATATTTTACGCGTGTACAGGTTATTAAAATTTCTATTAGAATGATGCATTCTGGGATTGCATATAGTGCACGCATAGACACACATACGCGTACATACACGCGTATATACGCAATATACAATTTTCCTCTTGCGTTGTGTGTGCATGAGGCCTTAGTGTATCCATATTGCAAATAGCCGTTTCTCAATGTTCATTTGTTAGGAAAAAATAGATAGCATGTGCATGTATGTAAGCATTTTTTGTATGCCCTGTATTGTTTTCCTGTAACTCTAAGAAATTCTATATGAAGCATTTTGTTTTTAATAAAAGCACAATATTATGCTGCTGGGTTTCTTTGCTTGCTTTATTGCAAATAATTAGTCTACGGTAACAGTCCAAAAGATAAAAGCAAAACTAAGAGGCATGGCAGGGTAGATCAAAGACACTGAATTGGGTTAAATCTCCCAGAAAATCTTACAACCAGGGGGTCCCGGCCATCCCTCTGATGTCGTGTGGGCTGCCTGGGCATGTATTCCCCTCACAGCCGCTGCGGAGCTGTGTCAGTGACAGCCAGCAGCTACGGCAGAAGAGGACAGCGTTCGCAGTGAAGGAGGAGGTGAGGCCCACCTAAGAGCAACCCCGCCTCCTCTTACATCACTGGCCAGCGACCTAAGAGCAGGTGGGGCCCGTGATGTCAGAGGAGGCGGGTCCCGGGGACGGAAGAAGAGGCGGGGCCCCGCGACCACGGAGGCGGACAGCGGACAACGCTGACAGGTAAGAGGTGTGCAGCCCATCTGAGACCCTGCAGAGCCCACTATAGAGAGTGGGCTGTTTGGTATATCAGGTGGGCTCTGCAAATGGCATAACTAGCAATCGCGGGGCCCAATAAAAAATTTTGCTATGGGGCCCTGTGATTTCTAGATACGCCCCTGCTTACAACCACTTGGAATTCAGAAGAAAGTTTTTGGGTTCTTGAGCAGATGAAGTCTGGGCTGCACTACTTAGTCTGCAAATACAACCCTCCCTAAGATCAGTAAACTAATTATGATGAAGGTTTTAATAGTATGTCTTGGTAAATGGTCTAAGGCAGTGATGGCGAACCTTTTTGAGCTGGAGTGCCCAAACTGGATCACTAAACCAACTTATGTATCTCAAAGTGCCAACCCTTATCCCTCTGATGTCGTGTGGGCTGCCTGGGCATGTATTCCCCTCACAGCCGCTGCGGAGCTGTGTCAGTGACAGCCAGCAGCTACGGCAGAAGAGGACAGCGTTCGCAGTGAAGGAGGAGGTGAGGCCCGCCTAAGAGCAACCCCGCCTCCTCTTACATCACTGGCCAGCGACCTAAGAGCAGGTGGGGCC